GAATCACCAAATTTACAGGGTGTGTTGACCTGTACGTGAACTCACTTAGGTCAAGGTTTCAGCTACCTAGGTCATGACCTTCGGGTTAAATGAGGTCAAAGAAGGTCAAATTCTGGGTTGGTCTCGAAAGTGCCCCCAGAACCTAATAATCTCTTCTAAGCAAAAGGTCACATACGCATTTAAGGTCAGTGACGTTGTTTGACCATTTGAAGGCCATGATGGCCAATATCGTACAAGCTGCTTTGGGTTTTGCATTTGAATAACCGACAAAGATTACGCCAGGCAGTATGCTCCGAAAAACAAAATGTTTACCTGGGTCATTTTAGGTCAATGACCTGTTCGGACCTTTAAGAAGTCCATGGAAGATGTATAATGCGGTTCCTGCTGTCAATAAATTCGAAACGAGCACTACAAACTACCTCATACAGCAAGCCCTAGAGTAACAAAACAGGTTGGTTTTGACCTTGGTCTGATCTTCACACCTGACCTTAGGTCAAGTTATTTGCTCATTCAACTGTTTTTTGCCTAAGATAGCATCTCAGAGATGTATGGCTTCGTTTAACACTCCGTTGTTGGATCGGATTGAACGATTCCCTAGAAAATGCTTTGCTAAAATCATGGTCTGACTGTGACCTGCCATAGGTCAGCAACCTAACAAGGTACATTTAAGTTTTTATGCCAAATGATCCGCTATTCAATTTTCTACAGCTATGCAAAATTTGGCACCGCTACACAGCGCCGTTCGGAAACTGTTCCGGAAAAACCCTTGGGGGTCCATTTGAACCCCTACCCGAGCGCGTGCTTGCCATTCGATGTGTTAACCATTTCGCATTCGCTGTCAGGATAGCAGACAGGCGTCACTATATGATCTCAGAATCGTCGTCAAGTCCCAATGACGGCCAAATATTCTCTGTGAGGTTAGCGAATTACGAAATAGAACTTTTGCTGTTGCTGTTCGTTTTAAGTTAGTCATTGGGTTTGTGTTATCGAAGTATTTGATGCCGAATTGTGAGCCCCTAAAACTCTAAAGGAATCTTTACTTCAAAGAACTGATTAGGTGTTGGGAGCCAGGTTCCGCATTGCAAAGACCGGGCAAAATATATTGGGGCCCAGCTAATTTTTGGGGGGCCCGACCCAATATTGGGGATGGGGCAGCCCAACGTTGAAGGCACATTTCAACGTTGGGGTCATGCTCCCAAAAAGTTGCAAAATTTCCCATGCGCTAAGTACCACCACAACCACCCGTCAGCAGCCACGCTTGCCGACACAACACTGTACGACATGTTTCACCATCACTGGAGCGATACTCCACGTTGGCTCCGCGAGTCTGACGTGTCCGGGATCTATTTGGCATCGCTGGTATCCGCACAATGCAGACTCCACGTTACAGAGCGTTTTGGCATTAAACGCCGGTTGGCGTCTCCTATCGTTTCGTTTGCAGGAAGAACGACATGATTGCCCCTGAAATATGGTCTCGCTTTTTGGAATTCAAACACACTCGCAGAGAGCACCGTTTATACTATACGGGTGGCTCTAGGCAGGACGACAAAACTTGAGCTGCCTTCCACACGCACCAACACCCGCTATGATCTTGCATTTCCGACCTCATCTCCGATTGCTGAACTGATCGCCATTTTTGCTGCAATCAGACATGCTAAGCTCTCCAATACCAAAGAAGCCATCATCTGCACGGACTCTCTTTCCGCTCTGCACGTTCTCAACACCCAACATAACACAGCACAACCGTTCATTACCGACATCCGGAACATCATCACATCATTTATGCCCCCAAAAACACATCAAAATGCTACGGCTGCCCAGCCAGGCGGACATTCCTGGCAGTGAAACTGCTGATCGACTTGCCAATAACTGCCTGCAGTTAACCACAAGAATTGCGCGTCCTGTTCCTATACAAGACACATTTGCCTTTCTAAAGTCACGGTTCCAAGTCGAAACCAAGGCTCCCTTCGCGGCATGAATAGGGTTTGCAGCCTCACCCACATTTATGCACCAGTAAACCCGCTCTATCGTGCTGGCTAGCATCTCAAGGCACACTGAAAGAAATAATGTTGGCACGTCTTCGCATCGAATATACCAGACACACGCTTCTTTCATAATAAAGGTTGCCTTCATTTTGCCACCAGTGTGCAGTCTCATACACATTTCACACTTTTTTCTTGCTTGCCCATTCTATCGTCAACCTCGTAAGTCTCTCATCAAATGCACATTGACAAATCGCCTGGCATTTTCTCTCAAAGCACTTCTTGTTGGCTTACTCCTTCATCTCATCTCAATGTGTTCTGAATTTTTTTTTGCATGAAACAGCTTTATCCAAGTTCATAGCGGTGGACAAATTTGGTAAACCACATCATTTAGCAAAAACATGTGGCTACTTATCCCCTTGCATAGGATCTTGGTGTCTCATGATTTAGGGCTCTTCAACGATGATGTGAAACACATAAACAAGATCGCGCTGCATTTATATCACAGTCCTAATTTCCGCCCTTTAAGCTTTGATAGAAATACATCTCGACATTAAAAACTAGCGCAAACGCTCATAAGCCAGGGTGTGCTGCCGTTAAACTAAAAGTGCGAGTTGTCTTCACCTTTAACCTGCGCCCGGCCGGGGGAAAGTTGGCTCCCCCTGAGAACTCCATTTTCCAGACGCCGTATGAGAAAAACGAAGATGCCGTTATCAGGGCCCCGTCAAATACTGAAGAATGCATGCCATATTTTTAACGCTAGGTCAAATGTGAAGTCACCAGAGGTCACGAAAGGTCAAAAATGGTTGTTTTGAGAATGCCGTTAAAACCTGTGTTAGCGCGTCAAAACGGATGCTGAGGAACGAAATAACCGTTAAGACCGTGGGAATCCATTCCGACCATTTATTTCGAATGCAACTTCATCCGCCATTTCTGGTAGCGATCGACCAATTGACCAGAGGCCCCTGTTTCGTCTGTGCTAAGGGACCCTTGTCGCTGCGATGAACACTGATCGGCCGTCGATTTCATCAACTATGACACTGCTGTGTTTACCTGTGTGCCGTTTAAACACAAGAGTATGGAAGTGCATGTGTGCACTGACTTTGTTACCGTTGCTTGCGCCGGACAGTATTAGCCGATTAAAGCAGAATTTTCCACACTTTGAGCTTTTAAAACAAGAATCAAATATGATGCAATTTTGTCACTTATAACTATTGGTATATGTCCGTGTGAAAAAGTTCGTTAGTTTTCCGGAGGACCATCGGCTTGATTCGAAAACAGACCTTGAAAAGGAAGAGTCTCTATTAGCCAAAGAGTTGCAAGGTGAAAGTAAGAGAGGCGTTGAAAGGGCGGCGTCGCACACGCCGAAGCCGTCGTCGTCGTTGTCGTAAACACTGACGCGGCTCGCGTCGAGCCGCGCCGTCGGAGCCTGAACGTGGACTGATAGGCAGAGACCGTGCGTCCCTGCCCGCGTGTTCCATACGCCCACGTGGTCCACATGCGGGCTCCAGATGGTGGGGACCAGTCGGCAGAAGGGCCGCTCACACCATCGCGGAGACGCCGCCGCCGCGCCGGCGGCGACGGCCCGTTTACTCAGTAATAGTATACTTTAAGTGAAACAAAAAATGCTCTGGACAGTGCAACTTCTCTTCTAATCAAGTATACTGCTCAATGTGTTGTTATTTGATTATGTCGTCGCACCTCGCACAACATTGATTGAGAGCCAATTCACGGCCATTACGTCTGGAAATGGTGCTCACGAACGTCAGATATGAATGGCCCGACAATGCTATTTTTCGCGGCCTTGGTCGTCGCAAGGCTAATGGGACGACGGGATTTGAATGACGTTGTTTGTTGGCGTTACAGAAGCTTGGGTAACCTTGAAATAGCCTCTTCGAAATAATCGGCACATCTTCGCGGGTGTGCAGCTAAGAAACTAGACTGGGTTTAGGTCTTAAGATTAAGGAGGGGAGGGCTGTCAACAGCACCTGATGATCTTTAAGATGGCTATTTTAGTTCAAAACCCGATGGGTTTTGAACCAAATTACTTCGGTGTGAAACACCGAAGGTAATATTTTACAGTCAGTAAAATAGTACTTCCCAAAGGCGTATTTGAATAAGTACCCGAAATGTACTTACTTCGACATGGTACATCAAACTTAATATTTTGCACTGCATTCCCACGTAAGAACAAATTACATTGACCTAAGGTCAGGTATGAAGGTCAGACCAATGTCAAAATCAACCCACTTTATTACTCGAGGGCTTGTTGTATTGGGTAGTTTCTGGTGCTCATTTCGAATTTATTGATGACAGGAACTGCATTATGCACCTTCCATGGACTTATAAAGGGTCTGAACAGGTCACTAACCTAGGATGACGCGGGTCAACATCTTGTTTTTTTCAGAACATACTGCCTGGCGTAATCCATGCGGCTTATCCTAATGCAAAACGCAAATAGGTATTGTATGATTTTGGCCACCATGACCTCAAACAAGTCAAAAGAGGTCACTGACCTTATATGGGCATGTGACCTTTTGCTTGGAACCGATATCTAGGCTCCACTAACCCTTTGAAGAATAACGTGAAATTTGACCTTGTTTGACCTTATTTGGCCCGAAGGTCAAATGTAACACGTAAATGCCCTGGGGCGATCCCACCATGACGTCACCATAGGATTGCCAGGTCTAGCCCCGACTAGTTTCCCCCCCCCCCCCCCCGCCTGATATCAGCAAAAAATCACCGGCCGATTTTAACCTCATAGAGAGCTTGGCACCCCTAAGGGAGGCAACGTTCGATCCTCGCTTGAGGTTAGAAAAAGAGAAAAAGCTTTGCTGATTCACTTAAACAAAGTTGCCACTGTCGCTGTCGAAAGCTCGTCAACGTTTCTGGTATTTAGCTCTATTTCGGACTTACGGGAGCAAGGCCGCGGCCAAGGCCAAGGCGATGCCAGGGCGACATGGCAAAAAAGGCGGTGCGCAGATCAACAATTGCGACACGTTGAGTGGGGCCGCTCGTGTGATTCACGGGCAGTGGACGTTGGGTGGACGCGTATTGGGACATACGTGGTTTGCGACGTTGGGTGACAGGAACAGTCCGGAAGGAAGGTAGGAACCGTGATGGAAGGCGTGAACGCAGGTGGTGTGACCAGCGGTTAAATTTCCTGTTCTGGTGGTGGCGGCTGCTCCAGGCAACCAAGTTTACGAAGAAGTGGATAAAAGGTTATTGGTGAAACATGATTTCTAGTGTTTTCGGGGTTTGTGAGTGAGTTTGATGATTCTCCCATGAAGGCTACAACTTATTTTGTGAAATTATACCTCTGGGTGTGACATTCACGCTCTTGTCACCTAATGGGAACATCAGGTTTGATGATATTACGCCTTGAATTATTATTAACATTTGTGCAAAGACCTGGGCTTAATCTATTCTCTTAAGGGTGTTGATTGGGATTGGGCCCCATGTATCTCTTAAATATGATCAGCCATACTGATTGGCATGAGTCAAGACATGATTTAGATTGTGGTTGTAGTTGTTAACAAGTAGCAGTTTCATTCAAAATATTCTATTGGAATTTATATGCATTCATGCAGCATCACATATTGCATGAATGAACAGCCTGAATTGTATTTTTAGATACTTTGAGCCTGAAGAATTGTTGACTCACCCAACGTAGTTTTAATCTTTGTGAGTTGCGGATGCTTAAATAGGTATATAACACGCCCTTTGAGCTCCAAGTATGTACCTTATAGGTTGCATGGTTTTTGGGTAAGTAGATAACAGGAGAATAATTGCAAGGTCATATAGCCAGTATCTGTCAAGCTTCAGGGGTCTCAACAATGTAAATGCCTCTAAGCTGTTTTGCAATGAGCAGTTTGTATTCATTGTATAAACATTTTCAGCACCTCTATCAGTGTTGGTGTGGACAAATACTGTGATTATGAGGGTTGGATTAAGGTCAGTCAGGGGCTCAAGCCTGTGACTTACTTTTTCAAGTTTTGTTTTGCATAACTGATGTCAAGCATGATGGCTTTACCTGTCTTTTATGTTCAGAAGTATTTGAGCAGTGCCAGGTGCCTAGTGGATGCTTACTCACTTAGCAAAAGTGTGGATTATTGGTCTATTCATTATTGTCACTTTTGGCAGATCTGTCACCTCACAAAGCCAATCAGCTAATGCAACCAAGCAGGTATCATGGTCAGTGCAAACTTAAAACAAGGCTGCAAGCATAGTACCTGTCTGGGACATATGCCCCTACCTAAGGCTGTGCAATGCAATTATATGTACCCAACTAAACAATGACAGTTTCAAATTCCATTAGGCCGCTTCCAAGTACAATACTGACAATGTATGATACTCAATGACAAAATGTAATAAGGTGTTACATGCATTCACAAGGAACCCTAAAAATATGATGTGGTTTTATAACACATAGAAGTCTGTTACACTTGTCATGTGCTGACCTTAGTTTTCAGTGACAATTATGAAGTTGTGCTTCCCTGCATTGTGAAATCCCATATACACGCCTGACTTGACATGTACCATTAGTATTCTGTTGTGTGGTTCATAGCATAAGTATGGTGCATGGCAACAGTCAAAGGACTTCACAAGTACTGCAGATGTCAAATACAATTATGTCAAAATAATCTGACCATTCTGTACTGTTGCTCATGCTAGTGCAATATATTCCTGAAAAAGGAAATGTCCTTGAAAATAACAAGTTTACTCCAAGATGGAATAACAAGTGATCCTTATGGTTTCCTGCTACATTATAGCCAAGCATAAAGCATACTTTGTTTTGCCTGAACCACTAGCCATGTTATGCACCTAATGATTGTGTATGATGCATCCATGGTTATAGTTTACAGGTGCATGACCTTCATGACCCTATCTTCTTTTTATCTTCTATCATTTTTCAGAATTTGTTGCTGTAAATGGCGTTGGAACTGAAGTCCCTGGAACATGACCACGTACAAAGTTTGTTGTCAGTGAAATCATTTGTGAGCCGGCACGTTGATGGCGGCCGCATGGCGGCAGAGCTGGCGCATGTCCAGGGCCGGTCAGAGTCTGAGGACGCGGCAGTGACCGAGTGGTTGCGCTGGTGTCAGTCGCGGCCTGGCGTGCTGACCGTGGAGGCCGCCGTGCCCGCGACCATCCTCAGCGGCGCCACCCTTGTCGACATCAAGGTCGGCGGTCGGAGGCGTGAGCCGGATGACAAGATCTACAACCGTAACCCGGACATCCGTCGGCGCGTGGCGCGCGGTAACTGCGTGCTGGAGCTGCGCGGACCCGGCGCAACGCACCGCCTCTGCCTCGTGCACGCGCTCAAGAAATTCACCGGCGGCATGGGCGACGAGGACGATGAGACGGACGATGGGGACGACGCCAACTGGCGGCGCTTCTTCCTGCAGCCATTGGAGACCGCCTCACGACTGGTGCTGACGCAGAAGGCCAACGGCGAGGCGGCCCACCTCAGTGCGCGCTGGCTAGACGGCGCCTTTCTCCTGTGTGTCGGCTCTAAGAATGTCCACATGGTATTGCGGCGCGAGGTGGACATTGAGCTCTATAGTGAGCCGCGTTACCAGGTGGCGCGCCAGGTGGCCGCGGCCCTCTGGCGCCACCTGGCGGCACTGGATGACGAGCAGCGCCGTCACCTGCTCAGCTTCCTGCATCACACGCGCTTCACGGCTGTCTTCGAGCTGCTGCAGCCCGACCACCAGCACGTAGAGGATCTCTCGCACTTGGAGCATGCCGAGCTGCGGTTCATCACCTGGACGCTGTCATTCGACCCTTCCAGCGAGCCGGCCACCTCACTGTGCAGCTGCCCACCGGAGCTGGCCTTCCGCCTGGCCGAGAGCTTTGGCCTGAAGACCGTCAGGTACTCCGTAGTGACTGATAATATTGAAGAGGAGCTCCCAGACATTATGCTGCGTGTCAGGAAGGCACACGGCTTCGAAGGCAAGGTTATATTCTTCGTAGACGACGACGGCAACGTCATCGGAATGCTCAAGAAGAAGACTGCGTGGTACATCCTCCTCAGGGCTTTGAGGGAGAAGTTGTGCTTCGCGCTTGGCAAATTCCCGTTCGCGGAGTTTCGGTCATTGGTCGAGAAGAGGTTCCGCGCAATCCAAGCGTGGTTGGGGCTAGACGATGCGTTCGTCGAAAACTGGATTGAGCTCGGCATGGCCTTTGCTAAATGGTGCAAGGATCACGACTACGACACTGAAACGCTACGAACCATGCTACCGCCACTTTGGAGCCAGTTCTTGCGCAAGAGCGGTCGGACGGACCACTTTGAAGCACACATATCGTAGCTGTTGGCTGATGCTGTTTTGGTGATTCGTGTGGGCGCGCCCGGGGAGGCATCTACAGTGTCTTTATCTGGTTGTACGGGTGTTCAGCGATGTCGGTGATCAATTTTGCCGGAGCCTAAGCCGCTATAGTCATGAGGTTTGATCTGGAGGATGCACCCGCCGCTTACCAAGACGTGATTTCCCTCTATAACCCCCTTTATGATTGGCTTGCGACCGATTATTTTAGCTCTGTAGCTGTGCCATTCTGGCTTACGAAGCATTTAATCATTACGTAAGCTGAAACATGACTCAGTTGTGCCTATATCTTTTTTACACATTTCATGGTGTTACGTGTATGCGTACGTGGTTGTGTCGTGTACATGCGTGCATTTTGTTGTGACATCCAGCGAAATATGGCGCTAGGCACTTCTCAGTGGTATAATGTCATGTCATTGATTTATCGATGCGTGCAATAGTGGATTACACAAAGACCGATTCTTGCGTGGTTGTTTGCCTGGCTGTCAAACTGTTTCGTAGTATAATACATGTATTAAGCTCAGTAACAACTTTTTGAGCTCTTCCGTGACGAAGACAAAACAGGATGCGCTGGAAAGCGTGGCTGTGCGGTGCGTTGAAACCAACTTCCAAGCGACGTAACATGTTTTGTTCTACCTGTACAAAATTAGCACAAAGTTGCCTTTCGTTGCTTGCTTCATCGGCACATTGCAGGATGCATTGACATTGGCTTCCTTGTTTTCGAACGTACGCATGCAGGTGAGTGCCTGATCGCACTGGCATGATTCTCTGCACTGACATTAATTCTTCGTTCCCTAGGTGGCGAGAGGTACCTGCCCGGATCGCGCGCAAGCAGGTGAGCGTCCCGTGTGCCGGTGCCTGAGAGCGGCTCCGTAAGCAGTGACCGTCTGACCCACGTCCGTCCGGCCGTCATGCGGTGTCTGGTGGCGCTGGTGCTGGCCGCCTGGGCCGGCCTGGCCGAGGCCGACGCCGGCAACAGCACCCTTCAGATGGTGCAGGTGCTGTTCCGGCACGGTGAGCGCACGCCTGTCCTCGTCTGTCCGACCGACCCGCACCGCGACCACTGGCTGGAGCAGGGCCTCGGCCAGCTGACCGGCCGCGGCAAGCGCATGCAGTACGAGCTGGGCCAGTTCCTGCGGCGGCGGTACGCCGACTTCCTGCCGGCTCAGTACCACGTCAATTACACGGTTGTACGCTCCTCGGACGTCGATCGCACGCTGATGTCGGCGCAGGCGAACCTGGCCGGCCTGTACCCGCCGCAGGGCCGGGACGTCTGGAACCCCGACCTGCACTGGCAGCCGATCCCCGTGCACACCAAGCCGACGTCCGAGGACCTGCTGCTCAGCTTCCTGACGTCGTGCGCGCGCTACGAGCTTGAGTTGCGCCGGCTGATGGCCACGCCCGAGCTGCGGCGTGTCGACGCCAAGAACCGGCAGCTCTACGACCATGTCAGCCAGCACTGCGGCGTGGAGGTGCGCGACTTGGCCACGCTGGCGCTGATCTACGATCTGTTGCTGGTGGAGAGCGACCAGAACATGACGTTGCCGGCCTGGGCCACGGCCGTGCTGCCGCCGTACAATCGCACCGTCTACCCGGACCTGCTGCGACCGTTGAATGAGCTCGCCTTCAACCTGCTCAGCTACGACGCACCGCTGAAGCGGCTGGGCGGCGGTGCGCTGCTCGGCCGGCTAGCGGAGCTGCTGCGCCAGAAGGTGGCAGGCTCACTGCAGCCGGCCGGCCGCCGGCTCTTCATGTACTCGGGCCACGACGCCGACGTGGCGGCGCTGCTCGGCACGCTTGGCGTCTACAACGGCCTGGCCCCGCCGCTGGCCAGCTGCGTCATCGTCGAGCTACACCGCGCGCCGTCCGGCGCCTTCTTCGTGCGGCTCTTCTACCGCAACGACACGACGGTGGCGCCGTACCGGCTGCAGGTGCCGGGCTGCATCGACGACTGTCCGTGGGAGGCGTTCCGAGACCTGGCGGCACGCGTGACGCCGGCCGACGGCGCGGCCGAGTGCGCGGCGCCGGCCGGCGGCATGCCCTCCGGCCAGCAGGTTACCGTCATCGCGCTGGCTGTCACGCTGGCGCTGCTGCTGGTGCTCTGCACCATCGGCGCCGTCATCTTTGGCCGCCGCCGCCGCCAGATGCAGGCGTACTCCCACTTCGGTGAGATCCCGACCTAGGTGCCGAATGGGACGGCGGCGCCTGCGGCCGGGCCGCAGCTCCGGAGCGGTGAGCATGCGAGACTAAGCGGGAGTGATGAGTGCGCGCCGGAGGAAACGTGTCCGGGTCTGCCATGCCCTGGTCTGCTGTGTCCGGGTCTGCAGTGTGTGGATCTGCAGTGTCCGGGTCTGTAGGGCCCGGACCTGCCTTGTCCGGGTCTGCGATGGCCTGGTCCGCCGTGCTCGGATTTGCAGTGTCCGGTTCTGCAGTGTGTGGGTCAGCAGTGTCCGGGTCTGCAGTGTTCGCAGACCCAGACACTGCAGATTCGGCAGGCCCGGATGCTGCAGGGTCTACAGAACCCGGGTCTGCCGTGTCTGGGTCCGCCTTGTCCGGGTCCGCCGTGTCCGGGCCTGCAGAATCCGGGTCTGCCGTATCCGGGTCTGCCGTGTCCGGGTCTGCCGTGTCCTGGTCTGCAGCGTGCGCGGTCGAGCTGATTCGGCGCTGTACTACAGGGAGTGCACTAGAGGCTCAGTTGCAGCGGTGCGTCGGATACCTATTGTATGATATGGCTGACTGGAATATCGTTTTATGCACAAATGGGATGGAGGCCCTGGGTATGGCTGTGCTTGCTTTGGACCGTGTGGTGTAGTGTGGCGGAGTGGGAGCTGCAGACTTCGATTTTGCTGTTGGATAGTATTGTATCACGGGCGTGAAGTGGACGTGCTCCTAGTGGCGTCGGCCGGGCGTGTTGCGGTGCAGTTTACAGTGGCGCGGTGAGCCTGCTGTGGCGGACGTGATTCGCCCAGGGAGTCCGGCTGTCTTGGGGTGCTGTCGCTGGTGAGGCAGGTGTGGCGAGACGAGCTGCGCGCGGGCTCCGCTCGTGCTGCGGAGATGCGCTCGACGCGGGATGTTCCGTACGGGCAGAGTCTGGAGCTTTGATGATTCCCCACCGACCCGACTTGCGCTCTGGACGAGATGTGGAAGGCAGGCATGTGAGCTGACGATTGTCTCCAGCACTTGTGCAAGCGTCTGGCTTTGGGTTTTCCGATGTTGAAGCGTTGATGTTCGTTTCCCAACGTTGTGCATGAACGTAAGTGGGAAGATCTGCGACTGGGATTCTCTCGTGTGTATGTATTATGTATCAACGTTGGAAACCCGGGAATCTCCCAGTCTCTGCCCCAAATACGTGCCTGGCCGGCCATGCACCGAAAGCGAAGTCGCATCTGATTTGTGTCTGCATGCGAAGAATGCGTTTCGGTTTTCGCCACATCTTTACTGTGTTTTTTCTGCTCGAGCTTTTATTTTGCCTTTTGTCCCCAAGGTGTGTGGTTAATTTTTCTGGCGCGCATGGCGATCCGGCTGTTTCAACGTTTGGTTTCTCTTTCCTGACCTCTGTGCATTACCAGAAATTTTGGGTGGCTATTCATCGCGAGGAAAATTGGGATTTATGCATTACTTAAGTATTCTTGTTTGTTTACTCTAGATTGGCGTGTTGTACCTTTGTCGGCCAAGCCATTTTGGGAACATAGTTCCGTTATTGCCATTTTTAGCGCCCGTCTTCGTTGTATAACCACGTAAGGGGAAGAATCAAGGACATATTTTGCTGTGTTCTGGCATTGTGGATTTGGGTTGGCTCATCCGACAGTGATGTATCCCCCCAGCTTGCATGCTAATGGTTAGCGTTTGTATACTGGACCGTGCTCCACCAGTAACGCTGTGTATCGATCAACCTCACAGTGTGCACAACATCGGATGCACAGAACAGTCCGTGGTGTATCATATGATGCCAAGTGAAGCTGATTGCATCCTAGCGTCGCAAAGACTTGCTGTCTGCTGCTCTGTCTGCCTTCTGCTCGGCAAGATCGTCCGATTTGCGCTGGCCTGTACTTCAGTTGTCGCTTTGACGGCTCAGAACATTATATTACGAGCATTGTTGCTGGCGTTTATGGGTGGTGAAAGGTGACGAACGGTAAGCAAGGAAAAGGTGACGAGTGGAGGGGGCACGCGGCATAAATGACGGGAAAAGTTAGTGAGCAGTCGAGGTTCGTAACCCGTAGGACTGAGCAACGCAACCAGCACGCCATGTATGGAAAGGCGTTTGTTAACCCTCGCCCGGCCGGCGGGGGAGGGCGGTGGCTGGGCTGGGGGGGGGGGGAGTTTGCTCCCCTCCTACGGTTTTTTAGAGCACAACTCAAAAACAAACGCTTGAAACAGTGCGAAATTTGTAATATCTTTTCATCTATCAAGCTGGAGTATTTTTTTTGCAAATTGTGGGTTTTGTCTATCATGACCGGTGACATTTGTCAGAGGTCAACCTATAAAGGACTGACCGCACACCTTTTTACAGGTCAGTTGCCATTGTTCAAACTTATGATGACAGAACATTGTGGCATCTACAGACTGCAGTAGTTAGATCTTTTGAAAAATGTGGGGTGACCTAGTCAGGTCAATTTTTGCTCTTGTTCGTGAATAATTAAGATTTGTATGCATTCTTGCGTAGTTTTTATTTTAAAATATGAGGAAAAGAGTACTAAAGAGTATGCCGGCAAAACTATCTATTATAATCACCTGTACACAGTATTCGAGGGTCGGGTTGTCCCGGCAACGGGCGACGGCCGGCCAGAGCCTTGGCCGTGTTTGCGGCTAATAAGAGCTATTGCGGGTATGTTTGGCGAGCGCATGAAGGTGAATGGGTCGGTTTATTCGCAAACGGGGTCTTTACGCTGGTTTTTTATACGGTACACACACATCGACCTTTTTATCTGCCCGCCCTCTGACTTAAAAATGTTTTTCTCCGGGACAGAAGTGTGTTAACAGAGCATCATGGAAGCCAGCGCCTTACCTAAATGTGGTATGAAGTCGTCCATCAGTAATTTGCCAACAATTTTGATCGCAGGCTAGTATCTTTAGCTTCTATTAGCCGACAGCAACTAGGTTTTGAGATGGAAGGGTAAAGTCTTCCGGCCTGTTCGCAGTTGGTGGCACGTGCCTTCGCATGCACGTTCGCTGTCAGGGCTAGATCCTCGCCATGAGTGAGCCATGGGCACGTCAGGTGACCAGAGTGGAAATAGCACGCCTGGCTCCCATCAACGTGAGTGACAGTGAAGTGGGCCACGAATCAGAAGAGTCTGATTGCTTGGAAGTTTTTGTGTTCCGGGCATGGTCCATTTTCGGGATAGGAGCCGCCATCAGGTGATGAAGAGACGTCGCCGCCCGTGCAGTCAGCAGGCAGTGGCCATGTGATGACTGTCATGACAGCCACACAGCTGAAGCTGACACTATGGCCACGCATGGGGTGCGTCGTCGCCGCTAAGTGGTTAACCGGACTGGGGCCACCCATCCACCGTCGAGATCTGGCCAACATGTTGACGGAATCGTCAGGCCTGAGAAGCCGCCAGGCGAAAAACCTTCGCACTGAATAAGATTCCTTTCCCTTGTTCTTTTTCGGCGGCATCATTGAACATACCGTGACAAAAAAACCTGGACCATTCCGCAGCAAAGCCATCGAGAGCACTGGTGCGGAGGGCTGGGCAAAGTCTCAGCACCTGCTACAGCCGACGGACGCCGGAGAAATCAGTGCATTCATCAGCCTGAACGTGCTCCGCGGCACCATACCCCTCTATGGGCGCGATATGATCTTTGCAGTCGGCGCGCCCGAAAACCTTAATTATTAACAAAGCGCCGTACCTCTCGAGTAGTCCAACCAGTTCTTTTACGGCGCCTGCGGACCATCTCATTCTCGGGCCGCCATGAGCAGGGAACGGTACACCCGCCTGCTGGGAGCAGTGACGATGGACGACCTTGGGAGGCGGGAGGAGCGGCGGACGACAGTGCTTCTGTCTGGCTCGAGAGATATTTGACGCCGTCGACGCCAGATTGCGTTGGCCTTCACCCGAGAAGTGCCTGACCATCGACGAGACACTCGTGAAGCTTCGTGGACTCTGTCCTTTCCGCGTCTACATGTCGAGCAAGCCGGGTCAGCGCGGGCTGCTGATCCGCACAACATCTAACGCCAACAATCGCTACATCGTGAAGATGTTGCCGTACACCGGCCGGCCGGCTCAGCGGCGGTGGGAAAAGCTTCTGATTTACCGGATATGATCGGTGACAAAACCGACACTTTTGCAAACCAATTGGTGACAAAACTAGGATAATGAAAACAACTTTCAACAGACCAGACCATATCACAGCAGATCATCCCAGCTAGACGAAACTCAGAGCTTAGTATTAGTCCGTACTCGCTAACGCTTGCAGCGTGAGCATGTGTAGAGCACATATCGAGACGTTGACGTTTCGCTGCATGAACAAGCTGAGCCATGAGATGCTGCCAAGCATAGTAGCTTTCATCGGGATGGTTTCAGCAGGTGACAGAAATACTACAAAGTATCAATGGTGGCAGCGCTTTTCCAATGTCCCTCGGATCAGTGCTTTTCACAAATTTTTCTCCCTCAAGATTCACTTTACATGTTCAACAGTATAAAACACCAAATTACTAGGCCCATTATATTAGCCAATATATAGGCTAATATAATATAGGTTATATCTATCTTTGTAATGCATACAGTATTATATATATTATGCGTATATATATATATATATATATATATATATATATATATATATATATATATATATATGTGTGTGTGTGTGTGTGTGTGTGTGTGTGTGTGTGTGTGTGTGTGTGTGTGTGTGTGTGCGTGTGCGTGTGCGTGTGCGTGTGCGTTGTATTTGTCCGTCCCAGTGGCTCAATGGTTAAAGCGCCTGCCTGCCAACCCACCCGCTCGTGGCAGGGTGGGTTTGAGTCCCTTTAGGGCACTGGCTATTTGCCCTTGACAGGTATGGTCTGCGGCCGGTGGCAGCGGTCGCGCTAAAGGTCAGTTGACGTCGGAGGCTAGGACGGACCGTGCGGAACATTGAGGCACGTTACGTCATTAGGTGTGATCATAGTGCATGTAAATCTAAAGAAGGTGCTAGAAATGTTCAAAAATGTCGTTGGCATCTGCTGTGACCAATTTTATGTAGGTTTTGCTCCAAACAATTGGGATCATGTTAGGAAGTGCGAGTTCTGCACCGGCAATGATTATGCGAAGATAGTGAAGGTCGCCAACGTTTCCAGCTGATTGTGCGATGATGTCACGAACCCAAACGTGGTATTGTTTCAGATGCTTGTAGAGCCATGTTATCGGTAAAAGTAGCGCTACAGGAATGCAGATGCAATTTTTCGTAGTTGGCAGCAGGGTTGTAGTTCCTCAAAATTACTTTTTGGGGCTGAATCCTCCGAAACTATGTTAAATGAAAATAATGAATAAAACGATAACTAAAAATGTGAAATTGCAGCGCTGGCTAGGTAGCACAGTCCGACCTGGCGCCGCTGTGCGTATACTCGCCACCGTATCGGAACTGGTGCGCCACCTGGTGAAGGACCACGCCAGGACTGGACGGAACGTCACCACAAACCGGCCAGTATCATGCCAGAATGACGCAAGCGGATTTTTTTCGGTACTTTAACATCGATGTAAAATATGGTGCAGCTGTATGCAGTGACCCTAGGCAACCGCATTTGCTGTGACTTCCCCCCCCCCCCCCCCCGCCAGCACGTATACTCCAGTGCGCCTCTGGAGAAGATGGTCAATATTTTATTGTATTTACTTTTTATTCTGATGTCCTAGATGCCGAAATTCGGAGGTACTCTGAGGTGCCATAAGGTTACTCATAAGATAATGCCACCATAGTCAGCCCAGCCCTCTCCGCTTGTCCTAATTTACGATACATAAAAAATTAGCCGCAAAGTAGCTTTCAAAACGACGACATGTCGCTCAGAGATTTAATATATTGCCTGAGGCTTGGCAATTTTATTTTACTGTATTTTGAGCTGGAGAGACTAAACGGCCGACCAGAGGCAACAAGATACACAGAGCTTGGCGGAAAGCACCAGTGGGTTGGTCTCAACGAGTTCTCGCTATTGGCGAAGCTTTCATGCTGTTACTTAATAACTGACCCCATTATGGCAGGTCAGGGGTCGAATTTCCACAAATCGTGCTTTTTAGCTTTACATCATACTAATGAGACCATGCATCGTGGCGACACGAAGTTTGAGCGTAATTGTTCTTATTTCATTCTTAGTACAATGGTGCGAATTTTTACGCGTGTTGAGGATATATTTCGAGGATTCATGACACATGGCTGCGTTAAAGTACCAGTGCCCCCCGCGCGCGTTCCGCGGCATCGTCTGCTGTCGCTCGCCACCCGCGCCGGCTGCACGTCGCCGTGCAGTGTTTCTTAAAAAAAACGCCGCTGCTCCGAGGCTAGAAAAGCTAGGAACGCGTTGCTGGTATTACAACACGCGCCATGGACGCTCCACAGGTGACTGAAAATTTGGACGCGATTGCAAAACATACCAGACAGGTATTCCCAAAAACACCTTAGGGAGACCTACTTGGTCAATTCGGCACGCCTGGTATATGGTAAAATCATCTACATACACCAGTCGGTTCTGAATATCAGCAGCGGCACCGTTAACCATAGCAAAGAAAGGACCGGGCCAAGTAGGGTGCCGGGGTGCCGGTAGTTTTCCATCGCTCTGGCTGTGCCCGTGCGCACAATCAAAACAGCATTCGGCTAAATGCATTAGGCCTAATGGTTCGGGCTAAATGCGTTTGGTTATTTGTCAGCAAACCCTGTCATTGACACCCCGCGGTCTCCGGCCACGTACCCGCTATGGCCGTCATCAGAGGTGCCGATCGATAAAACAAGGTTGGAATGTGAAAAGTGTTAGTTGGAATTTGGACGAAGACAGGGAAAAAGTCGTGGACATTTTTTCTAACGCCGATATCATTTTGTTGTGTCACAAATTGGTATGCATATCAAACTTCAAGATAACATAAAAAGATTACATAAAAAAGGGAGATAGGGGTTTGGCATGTGCCATTCGAAAATTTCAGGCAGGAGTGAAAAATTCACATAAAATATGGGGAAAGGAAGTGAAAAGTTCCCCCTCACAGGGTGTTGTTTTACACCCAAAGTCGGCAATTCTAGGACACTGGGAAAATTTCGGGGCTTATTACGTTGTCCAGAGGTCTTACGCTGCTGCCCAGGGTCTACATGTCCACTTGCCATGTCAATCTGATCGCTAAGGAGCTTTCCATGTTGTCTTTGATCTATCTGCATTTCTTCGTAGGGCCCAACACTGCTGTTGGGACGCTGTCTGCTCTCATGCCTGGGCGCTCTTGATCAATCAGGTTTTCCTTCACGGATTGTTTTCCCATTCGCCCGGAAGGCTCCATGCGCTTTTCCGAGGCCCATATGCCAGGGTGCGCTCATATGATCAAAGGCCCTTCATATTAGTATCCGGTTCTTTCCACTTACTTGGTGGGCCTTGTGCCGTTGTCGGGGCCTTATATGTTAAGGCACCGAAACATTCGGTGTCCAGGGGCCCTTTACTTTGATCGAGGAATCTTTGCCTTTGATTTTATTTGCGGAGTACTCTTCACTCCTTTCGAGGGTCTCTCTGTTAATGTGCTTGTACCCTCTTGATCGCACAGGTGTATTAATTCATGATCTTGTATAATTCCCCTTTGCTCAGAGGGACTTGTGCCCTGGGTGGGACAACACATGCCAACTTACCGGGACACTACCGATTGTTTAGGGGCCCAACACGCTGGTCTTGGGCTCTTTTTGCTTGCTCTGGGGATCCTATACTTGTTGACGGGAGACACTTTGTTGGCCTCCTGCGGCACCCATGCTTGCTAAGGTTTCGTCCCAATTGCCCTTGATGCATTCGCCTTGGAGCAGTAGTCGAATATGCGCCGATGAATTTTTACGCGCCACTGCCGAACGTAATTTTACATACCGCCGACGTCGTCATTTTCATTAGCTATTGAGTGTGTGACACTTACTACACTAGTGCACCACGTCTTAAACATACTTTGAATGACAAGATATGTTGCACTCCTTTATGATCAAGGAAAAGTTATGCATTAGTCATCAGCCATCAGCTGATTACATCGCCCAGCCAGCTAGCCGTAAATTCATAAGCTGGAAATCAAGTTTGTGCTAAGTTTTGATGGTTGCTAGTAGCCAACTCAAGTTCATTTTGCCTGTTGTTCCGAAACACTTAGCCTCAAAATCACAGAATTTAACGTAATCTGTAGAAAATGAGTGAGGTATATTTGTATGCATGCGTGGCACGCCTAGCTTTAGAGGGCTGCACGCACCAAGATGGGTTTCCGTAGTTAAAAAAGAAATGAATAATTAAGTATCTATATGCATATATATATATATATATATATATATACATATATATACATATATATATATATATGCATATATATATGCACATATGTACATACACAACATATGAATTGTTTCAAAATGTAAGGAAGGAAAACAAAAACATTTTTTAGAGCAGGTCCCAAACTCCAGGGGCCCAAAATGTTGCTTGCCTTCTTTGATGGGATTCTGGATCTGCCCCTGATTGGACGGCTCTGTTAACACCCAAACCACTTACAAAAAAAAATGTATTGGAACAATAGAAAGAAGCAAAAACAGCAACAGCAGAGTTGAAAACTAGACTGGAGCATGGTAGAAAGAAAACAACAGGGTTTTAAATTTTTAGCTCCGGGCTAAAAAAAAAGGTCTACGTTTGATCCCCCTCTTCCATCGTTCCCATCTCGTACTCGTGCTAACCCACTCAGCCCTCTCTCCCTGCCGCCGTGGATTTATCACCTCTCATTTCGTTCCAAAGTTGCTTCCTGTACCATTACCCGCTAATCAATATATTTCCTTTTCACGCATTCCACGTCCCTTCATCCCCTCCCCCAGCCCTTCTTTTCTCTCCCTCACTTGTTTTGGCTGTCCACCTGCGCGCCTTTATAACTCATAAGACATTTTCTGTATCGTCCCCTTTACACTTTTTTTGGCACTCCCTATACCCTATGTAAACAATTCCTTTATAGATCCCCATACACTCACTTCAGCGCTCCCCTTACGCTTCTTTTCCCGATTCCTCAGCACTACACTTAGCGCTCTTTCTACACACCCTTTATCTCTCTCTGTACACATTGTCCGTCACCCCGTCTTCCTGAGGCTGCCTTAGCTCCACTTCCAAGTTGATTTGGCCCGAGGCGGGTGCGAGAGACGGCGGGGCGATGGCCAGCTCCAGCGGCTCGCTGGTCGGCAGCAGCCGGTAGCGGCGCAGCATGTGACACAGCGCCAGCTTGATCTCCATCATGGCGAACCGCTTGCCGATGCAGTGGTGTGGCCCGGCGCCGAACGGCATGTGGCTGTAGGGCACGATGTTCGGTCGGTTTTCGGCACTAAACCGCTCCGGTTCGAACTTCTCCGGGTCGGGCCACAGGTCATGGTCGTAGTGGATGCAGATCGGTACCACGGCTACGACGGCCCCGCGAGGCATGCGCATCCCCTGAACCTCCGTCTCGAAACTTGCCTCTCGGCCATACATCCACGAGATGGGCGGGTAGAAGCGTAGCGACTCCTGGATCACCATATCCAGGTAAGGCAGGTCGGCCACGTTGTCGTAGCTGAGGTCGCCGCTGGCCGGTACGTTAGCCGTGATCTCGTCGTACAGACGGCTCTGTACAGCCGGGTGGCGCGCCAGCAGGTGCGACGTAAAAGCTAGTGCTGTACTTGTGGTCTCATAACCGCCCGCGATAAACGCGAATGCGTTGGAGACCAACTCTTCGTTCGTAACAGGTTCGCTGCCAATGTCGGCGCTCTGCGCCTCCATCAACAGCTGCAAGGCGTCCGTGGCCGCCACACCGCTCCGCTGGCGATGTTGGAGGACGTCGCGAAGCCAGCGCTGCAGCTGCTGGTTTACGTGGTACGCTCGCGAGGCCGGCCCGAATGCGCTCAACAGAGGCCGCAACAGGCGCGTTAGCGGCTCTAGATGGCCCAGCATTCCGACCATTTGAGAGCAACTGAACAACGTCTTCATCATGACCAGTAGCGGGTCACGCAGGTCCGTCTGGCAGTGTGCCTCCATGCCCAGCGCGCACTTAGCGATCACTTCCAGAGTGAGCCGGTGGAAAGTGGCATATACATTGGTAGGATGGCCCTGCAGCCTATTGGCCTCCAGGACGTCAAGGAAGGTCTGAATGGGCCTATTCATAGCCGACGACATACCCTTCAGCTTTTTGGCGGTGAAGGCCGGGTTAAGGACGCGGCGGACGTACTTCCAGCGCTCGCCCCTCAGCGCCAGAAGAGTGTCATTAAAGATGGGCAGCAAGGATTGCTTCCTTTCAGGCCGGTCAGGAAACGTGTCAACGCTCTTAACGAACACCTCGCGAACCAGGTCTGGGTCCGTGGTCAACAACATCGGCGTCGTGCCGATGTACAGCGCCATCGTCTTGCCTCTGATACCATGTTGAACTCCGTACGCGTCAAACAGACGCCGAAATTCCGATGGTCCCGTTGTGCCTGTTAGCTTGGCGGCGTGTCCGTAGATCAAGCTGTATGGCGGCACATTGTATCCCAGTCTCTGGAGCGTCTGGAGCTTGTAAAGCCGCCGTCTGCAAACACGCAGCAGACATTCAGTACACACGCCAAAAGTACACAGCATTAAGTGCCAAACGCTCGCAATAAATGACCATACATGAGTCCACCAATGGCCAAATACGGACACCAAAATTAGGTTCTATGACAAATTACTCAATGGCGCTCAACCAATACCATTTCTCCAAATGTGTGCATCAGAGTTTTTTTACCGTCTTCTCTTTTTGCGCCTTCTTAAAAGGCAAACGACTAGAATGGGGTATTCATGTTGACGAACTGTTTTGTAACCACGCGAAGAAAATCTTAAATCCGAAAACACCTGGCTGAAATGTCATTTCGCGGAATGTCGATTAACCAAAATGGCTTTATTGTGAATGGCAATTAGATAAATGCAAAGCCGCCAAATGGTCCTTTTCCCAAATATAAAATCGTCGAAACGCTAAATAGCCCAGTGCATTTTGCGAAACTTTATTTTGACATTGAACGGATTTTAAGTGATGTCCCGACAGACCACAAGGTGTCGCTCATTACTTACACCACACAGTGAAGTGTAGGGGATTAGGAAAGTAACCAATATTCGTAAGGACTTGGAGTACCATGACAATCCGTGTGACAACGGAAGACGATGGGACTCTAACAACCACCAAATACTCTTAACTTTCTATGTGGATGGGCCCTGGGCGTTTCCACGCACGCAGGTCTGGGAATTCAGATGCCAATCAGGGCGACCTTAGCGCCGATCGAGGCAAATGCTTGAACTGTTTCTATCTACAATCTACATTTGTAAATAGAAACGTCACACGGTTTTCGCCCACGTACCCGGTACGGTAGTCACGAGAGGTGCCAAGTACTTTAACAAAGTAGGAGTGTGAAAGGGTGTCAGTTGAAATTTGGACGGAGACAGGGAAAAAATCGTGGACATTTTTGCTAAGGCCAATATCATTCTGTTGTGTTGCAAATTCGTCTAGGGACGCGAGAAGCGACTGGGTTTATTAATTGTAGTCATCAGTTATGTAGCCAAGTTGTAGAATATAATAAAGCCCAGCAAGTTTTGGACAGCCTGAGTATTCCGATCCTTGTAGGGTGGACAGCTAGTCAAACCGCTGGACTTTGGACAACACCTTCCGTAAAGCGGCCTTATCTGGTAGTGATCGGCGACACCGAAGCTCGATGATGCGCACACCGGTGCAACAACCATTCAACGAAACCGTGCTGCCACAACCGGGCCACTTGCAATGCAACACTGGGTACTTCGAACTTGTTACCAGTAGATATTGAAACATACTTAGGGCATTTTATAATCGGGGAAAATGTCGCATGAAAATCGCACGTTGCATGAAAAAGATATCCTACGCAAATGGTCAGGCGACAAAAGGTCGAACGGTGGTAGGATGACAACTGCAGAGAAGACTGAAGCATTGCTTTGAAGACTGTGCATTGCTTTCACGAAAACCTGTGATACACCTCTCGTACACACGAACATTTTCTTCCTTATCATTCGATTCGAGTGAGGGAATGCAGGGACGCGAGAACCGACTGAGCTTATTGGTTGTAGTCAGCAGCTATGTTTTAATTATAAAAGGCCCAGCAATTTTTGGATAACCTGATTTTTTCGACCCTTGTTAGGCGGACAGCTGGCCTAACCGTTGGACTTTGGACAGCACCTTCCATAAAACGGCCTCGTCTGGTGGGGATCGGCGACACCGAAGCCCGATTTTGCGCACACTGGTGCAATAATTACTCAGCGAAACCGCGCCGCAAAGACCAGGCCACTGGCAAGGATGATAGAACACTGGGCACTTCGAACTCCCTCCCGGTAGACGTTGAAAGATACTTGGAGCATTCCATGATCGGGGAAAATGTCGCATGAAAAAAATCGTAAGCAAGGGAACGCAAGTCCAAAGATCGAGTGACGCTAAGATGACACTAGCAAAAGATTGCTGAGAGCAAAGGTTGCATAAAAACACGGCGTATGGGGTATATAGGATACCCAGATGTAGTTATAATGATTGCCCTTTGAAGTCCAAAATGTTGTCACGATCTGCCGCCTCTATTTCCGGGCGCTCTGGATTTCTGTCTCTTCGAAGAAAATGTAGTTCATTCGAATTTTTACGAAGCTTCCTTTTCTAGAATTTCTAAACGATGCATAAACTGACAGCTAGGTTAGCCATACAGTCGGAGGGATCGACAGCTTATTTTAACTATTTCAGAGGTCGATGGTAGTCGATTTGCCGTGTTCTACATTCCTATTTATCATGTACTATAATACTGTGCTTGAAATACAACGGCGATATTTTCCAACGATCATCACCACGTACTATGTGGTGTTCACGATTTGTTTTAGAACGACAGCATTTAAACTGATATTTACCTTCACCAAATTTTGCCTGACGATGTTTACCACGCAGCTATTAGTTGTCGTTTTTGGGTGCATCGTTTTGTCGTAAAACTTTGTCTTATGCTCCTGTACGTTCGACACTTTCCGAACGATGTTTTACTGTGCAATCCCACACATAACGTTTCGCCCTGCAGTCGCACAATGCGACATGCTGGCAAACTGCGCACCCTTCCTCAAACGCGCGCTGCTGCGTGCACTCACACGAAGAGGACGATGATCACTATGGCAACGGCCGTCAAAGCGCCGTGCCACGGCACGGCACCAAGGGACGGCAGCGCCATCCGGTAGTCGCTCCACACGCCGGGAGCGGTGCTGGTGGCACGCCGAGCCTGCCTGGCTTGCCCTCCGTCTACCGACTGGCCGACGGGCGGCCTCGCGCCGCGGAGACCTCGTGACGATCACATGGCGAAGCGGGACATGCGTGTTGACGGGAGGAGGGGAGGAGAGGGGGGCATCAAGCCGACGAGGCTGACAAGGACTGGCTCGCACTACTGCACATGTACGATAGTGGAGATACAAAGTACTGACCCTGGTAATAAGCTGGCGAGTGGTGACTGGTCAAGTTTGCGGTTTGCTGGCTAAGCGATCTCGTGTTGTTTTCCTTTCCTCCGGCCATTTCCACTAGCGCACAACGATCCGTGCTCACCCGCTGTTTATGCCAAATATTGCGATCTATACCATGATAGCAGTTGTACCACCATAATCGCTATCCTCTGGCTTGTCTGGGTGGATGTGACCTCAAAAGTAATATTCTCCCAGACGAGGGAGGACATGACTTTTACTCGCCCATCACCAGGGAAGTCCTCACAATCCCCAACCATGCAGTAACGATTTCCGCGTCACGTACGACTTGGTTAGCGGAGTCACGGTACTTAATATCAGGAAGGACATGCGCGATTTGAGCAGCCTTGGATTTTGTTGATAATTGCACAAGGATATCGAATGGGCATCACTTCTACGTGCAGACGCAGTGCTTCGAAAAAAGTGCAGCAAATGTCGAGAAACCGTTCAAATGTTTTTTTTACTTCTGCTTTTAAAACGCACTTCACGCAAGCTCCCCAGGATAGGTCCTTTTTGCACTCTGCTCATGGTTCCATCGTGCTGTCGGACCGAACTGGCACACTGGCCGGTAGGTAGGAAAGAAAAACCACCGTAGGTGGCATGTGGGTGGAATGCGGTGGGGAGGATATAGCGGGGTAACGTCGAGCCACGTGAAAAACGCCGCATTTGAAAGATCTTTCAGGAAATACGTCGGTGTCTTAGAAGCCAGATAGCGAGAGAATACCATTCCTATGGTCCTCTTTAGGCGTTGGTAGAAGCCCTCCGAGGCCATCCGCAGCTGAAAGCATAATTGGTGCCGGTCTTCCATCCTCCTCCACTGTTACAAGGATAGTCGTGCTTGCTCCATGTTCTTGGCAATATTGGATACGCTCCTAATCCTATTGCCATTTAATGCGCAACGTAATCTGTGAGCGGCACTTGACGGTCTCTCTCATGTTGGTGTCCATACTTAGGTATCCTTAATGGACTCATGTACGGTCACTGTTTGCGAGCCCTTGCATACTTCATGCTTCGCACCGCTTCTTTATGTACTAAATGTCTTTTGCGGGTTTGCAGACAACGGTTTTACAAGTTCCAGACGCCCCAAAGGCTGGGATACAAGGTGCAACCGTACGGCTTGATTTACGGGCACGTCGTCAAGCTAGCAAGCACAACCGGACCGTCGGAATTTCGGCGCCTGTTCGACGCGTACGGGGTCCAACATGGAATCAGAGGCAGGACGATGACGCTGCACTTCGCCACGACGCCAAAGTTGTTGACCACGGACCGAGACCTAACTCGCGAGGTGTTCGTCCAGTGGGTATACACGTTTTCCTGATGAGATTGACAGAATGTACCCCCTTGCTGACCATCTTTAGCCATACTCTACTGGCGCTGAGGGGTGAGCACTGGAAGCATGATCGCATCGCTCTACACCCGGCCCTCACCGCCAAGAAGCTGAAGGGTGTATCACCGGCTATGGACAGGCTCATTGAGACTATCCGCGACGTCCTGGAGGCGAACAGACTCCAGGGCAAGCCTACCATTGTATATGCAATCTCCCATAGGCTCACTCTGGAGGTGATAGGTATGTTCGCGCTGGGCATGGAGGTGCACTGCCAGATGAGGAAGCGACACGCTTCTGGCCATGATGTAAACGGTGTCTGGCTGCGGTCAGCTGGTCAGAGTGCTGAATATTCTGGAGCCGCTAACGCGCCTGTTGCAGTCTCTGTTGAGCGCATTCGGGCCGGCCTCGCGAGTGCACCACGTAAACCAGCAGCTGCAGCGCTGGCTTCGCGACGTCCTCCAGCATCGCCAGCGGAGCGGTGTGGCGGCCACGGACGCCTTGCAGCTGTTGATGGAGGCGCAGAGCGCCGACATTGGCAGCGAACCTGTTACGAACGAAGAGTTGGTCTCCAACGCATTCGCGTTTATCGCAGCCGGCTATGAGACAAGTACAGCACTAGCTTTCACGTCGTACCTGCTTGGCGCGCCACCCGGCCGTACAGAGCCGCCCGTGTGAGATCGCGGCTAGCATGCCGGCCAGCGGCGACCTCTGCAACGACACCGTGGTCGACCTGCCCTACCTGGACATGGTCATCCACGAGTCGCTGCGCTCCTACCTGCCCATCGCGATGGTGTACGGCCGACAGGCAAGCTTCGCGACCGAGATTCAGGGGATGCGCGTGCTACACGGCGCCGTCGTAGCAGTGGCACCGATCTGCAAACACCATGACCATGACCTGTGACCTGTCTCGGGGCAGTTCGAACCGGGGCGGTTCAAGGCCGAAAACCGACCGAACATCGTGCCCTACAGCCACATGCCGTCCGGCGCCGGGCAACACCACTGCATCGGCATGCGGTTCGCCATGATGTAGATCAGGCTGGCGCTGTGTCACATGTTGCGCCGATACTGGCTGCTGTCGACCACCGAGCCGCTGGAGCTGGCCATCGCCCCGCCGTCTCTCGCACCCGCCTCGGGCCAGACCAACTTGGAAGTGGAGCTGAGGCAGCCTCAGCGGGACGCGGGATGGACAAAGTGTGGAGGAAATTATCAGGGGAGCGCAGGGGAAACGATGAATAGAGTGTTCGGGGAGAACAGAGGGAGTGATAAAAAAGTGTAGAGAGTGATTAAAAAGTGTAAAGGGAGCGACAAAGCAATCGTTTAATGAGCGATACAGGGAGTGTAGGTGGACTGGTTAACTGATATGGACTGATTTGGCTGGGTCAAAGGGCAACAATTTACTCATTGAAACCTTCCGTAGACATCCGAATAGTTGTCACGATCCGGACACAGAAATTTATGAAGAAATTGGCGGAGGTGTAAAATGAAAATGTATAGTGCCGGGGGATTTCAGCATCCCAGGCTGCAGCGTAGATTTTAACCAATCGCCAAATATGCACAACATATCCTTGCTTATTTTGAAGATAATCTTTACCGGCAGGTGGTGCGCGAACCCACTAGGGGACAGAGGTTTTGGATCTTGCTATGACTAATAGGGAGGGATTGGTAGATGCTTTGGCACTAGGTGAGGCACTGGGAAGTAGTGAACACAACATCGTATGGTTTTCAGTGTGTCTGGGCTATTCAGGTAAGGCTAATTATACTCTTATTCCGAATTTTTCTGGGGGTAGAGTGAAGGCACTTAGCGCATTCCTCACTAGCATCCAGCGCGAGGATCTTATTACTGGTTTCAATGCACATCAGATGTGTAAAGTGTTCAAGGATAGTTTAGAAGAATGACAGAATAGGTTCGTTCCCTTTAGGAAAATGCAAAAAAACTAGGTCTAGAAAGCCACCATGGCTGACGCAGACAGTGGGCAATTCGATGACTGTGGAGAAGAAGGCATATAATAAGCAAAAAGTGCAGGACACAGTAAGCAACAAGCAAGTGTATAGGATTACAACGAAAAAGGTTAGGCAGGAAATCAGGGCAGCCAAAAGATCATCAGAAATACGGCTCGCAGTCACTTGCTCTGGCGACGTTAAGAAGCTTTTTAGTTACTACAAATTTAAGTCTAAGGGACCCTCAGTCAGCCCCCTCGAGGAACGTGGAAGTCTGTAGTAAAGGACACAGACATGTAGATGCTCTTAGTAAGCAGTTTTCTTCCGTTTTTACGAAAGAGACTATGTATGGTCTCCAAGAAAACGAGCACAATCTAACTGAAGGCAGTATTGCAGATTTGATGGTGGCCTTGGGTAGAGGACATGGTATAGTAAGGGATAGCTTGAAGGAAATCAAGGTTAACAAGGCGGCCGGACCTGGCCAGATATTTGGTAGCGTGTCGAATGAATGTGCTGGTGCGTTAGATTGCCCTCTTATGTTAATATGCAATAGATCATTGAGTTTCTCACAAGTATCCGAGGACTGGCGCAATGCCAATGTAGTAGCGATTTCAAAGAAGCGGACCAAAAAAGGCATCAGCAACTACAGGCCTGTGAGTTATTAACCAGTTTAGTTAGTAGTAACTCACTAGTTTGTAAGATCTTAGAGAGAAATTCATTAAGGAATTTCATTCAGTCACACTTAGACCGGCATCAGTTGATAAATGATAGCCAGCATGGTTTTCTTCCTGGCAGATCCTGTTTGACAAACCTAGAGCCCCAGAGAACCTAGAGTGGAACATATTACTAGTCAAATAGATAAGGACAATAGTTTTTTCAGGAAAGCATTTGATAAGGTGTCACACCAGCGTCTGCTATATCAGTTGAAATGGCTGGCATTGAGAGAAAAATTATTGGCTGGGTAAGGGCTTAGCTGCTGGACGGGAAGCAAAGAGCGGTGCTCAATGGTACAAAATGTCAGAGGGAGCTCATAGAGAGTGAGGTTCCACAGGGGTCGGTGTTTGACCCTTTGCTCTTTATCATTTTTTTCTCTGAATAGTAATGAAATAGGGTTAGGGAGTAAGGTGCTAAAATTTGCTAACGATCTGTAACTTGGTAAGGCTTTCGGATAATGATCAGACGAACCAAATTCAACTTGATTTGAATAAGCTAATGAACTGGGCTTCTCTGTGGCAGATGTTGTTCAATTGTTATAAATGTAAGGTGGTGCTTTGGTAGCACTTGGGTAGCTTTGACAGTGAGGGCATTAGCCGTAGAGTGGGGGCCGGGAGATGGATCAGATCGAGGAAGAAAAAAGGAAGGAATTATAGTTCCTAACTATGTAAGTGGGTGAAAAACGCTGTGGCTCTGCTAGGAGCAAGGCACTTTAGATTCTAGGAATTATAAACTGGAACGTCCATTTCAGGGGTAGGAATGTTGTCAAAACGTTGTACTAGCTTACGTCAGCCCGCAACTAGAATATTGTGTACAGGCTTCGTCCCTAC